CTTCCTTTATCTTCAGCTGGGAGAATTAAGCTTCTTATTTAGAATGTTTGTTTGTCCTTAGATGCTACAATAGATGCTCTTCTGTTTAATTGCCAAATGGAGAAATGTCAACCGCTATACTAGACAGGGTGAAATAACACATCAATGCTTGTAAATATATTCAATAACATTTTTTTGGTAATAATTGTTTTAATAATATGGTTCACTCGGTGGAATTGTCCCTTCTTATTTCACTGAAAATCATGGAAAGGTCAGTTGTGATGCCAATGTATTAGGAAAAAATTAAGAAGCTGGCCCAAGAAGAAATGTTTGTGAGGCACAATTTTTAGAAATTCAGTTTAGGAGCTATATGCACTATTAAGGACAACAAAAGAAAAAAATTGTAAGATTTATTTAATAAGTGTTCTTCTATGGTATGCATGTCCACTACTCAATGCCAGTCATGTGTACCCTCCTCTTACACAGAACAAGTCAAGTCTCTGTACCCAAGGCCTTTGTAGTAGATACTTGTCACAGGATGAGAGGCACGTGGATCAGACTTAAACCCAACCTTCAGTCTGGGTACATGTTCAGCCAAACCCCAATAAACCCAACATAGCCACATCTGATCCACAGCTCAATGAGAGACAAATAAATATTTCTTGTTGGAAGCCACTGAGTTTGGGGTTGGATCACTTGAGGTCAGGAGTTCGAGATCAGCCTGAACAACAGTGAGACCCCTGTCTCTACTAAAAATATAAAAAATTAGCCAGGTGTGGTGGTCTTGTCTGTAGTCCCAGCTACTCAGGAGGCTGAGACAGGAGGATGGCTTGAGCCCAGGAGTTTGAGGTTGCTGTGAGCTAGGCTGACGTCATTAAATAAATTGTAAGATGCATACCATAGGCATCCATACCATAGAGGAACATTCATTAAATAAATCTTACACTAGGTCAGAACCATTAGTGTATGTAATGTGCATTGCATCCAAACATGTCATCATACAGTTTCTGGGAAATTTATCATGCCTGTAAACTTCCATAGCACCATGTGCATATTTATCCTGCCTCCTTGAGTTATTTTCTTTTGCCTAATAATTTATTTATTTAGCATGTATGTTTTTGTGACTAAAAGATAAAAATGCCACAAGTCTTTAATTAAAGAACCCAAGAACCTTTGAAAGAATGTGTATATGTGTGTGGAGGATTAGGTAAATATAGTTTAGGAGAGAAGGTCCATAGTTTCTTTAAAATTCTCAAAACTCTACTTGAAACGAAGAAGTAGATTAGAAGTAATTAGAAACATCTAATTAACCTCCAGTATAAATAATAAAAAATTCAAACCACGTGTTTCCATGATGATCTTTATATTCAAAGGTTCTATCTGATACATCTGAATGTTTATAAGGCAGCTACCTCTGACATCCTAAAACAAGAAAAGAGAAATTATTTTCAAATTAAAAGTAATAATCCAGAAGGAAAATTAGATAAATTGAACACACATGTTAGTTATAATCACAGAAGTGGATACAAGCATATAGACAAATATATTCATGTATATAACAAGCAAACAGCTGGGATTCAGGGATTTAACTGAGATAAACAAAATGAGCCTTTTAAATGCTTTACCAATGGTCAGGTATCCAACAGCCTTGGATTTGATCTCTTCTGTCAGTTGTTGAGTCTGATTCAGACAGTCCAGGATGTAAATATTGGGAGTGACTAGGGCCACATTCTGCTCTCCACAACCAAAAGGCATTTGGAGAAGATTCTGTAAATTTTG